CCTTGAGGATCTCCCAGGTGACTTACCAAATCTGATGGGCTCCTCAATTTGTCTGAAGCTGGTGTGATTTCTCTGGTTTTGCCATGAGCTGAAACACCAAAAATGTTCTTAACAGAATCTCAATCATTCAATATTATCAATCGGGAGCCAGATGCTGGGGTGAAAGCCTGCCAACTCCGAGAGACAGAGAAAGCACCCAGCTGACCTTTCTCCTCAGCCAACACCCCAAAAGGAAAAGGGAAGCTCTCCTCCATGCCACCTCAAAAAACCCTCAAACTGAATGTTCCTCCCTTCTACTTCCTATGTGTCTATCTATCCTCCTGACTTCCTCTTACTCTCTATGGTTTTTTCCTATGTTTCCTCCCTGTCAACTGGTTGCTTGTTGTACTTCTTGATCTAGGGTTGACTTCATATAATCCTGTTTACAAAACTCAAGCAGAAAGCTCTTGGATTAAAGGTACGTGCTAGTGGTGAGGCACACCACAACTAGAAACAAGTTTTTTCCAGTAAACAAAATAATCTTGGTGTTCATAGTGTGATCAAATGTACTGCATCAGAGAACACATGTAATTTCCAAATAAAAATATACTCAGATTTATGATCTACTGAAATTAGCCTATTGAAAACTCAGTCAAATGTGAAGGGGAAATGACCATTTTCAACCACAGTTTTGGTTTATTTTTTTCTTATAAATACTCACTCTGAAGGCTGAGGTAGGAGAATTGCCAGCTCTTCAAGGCCAGTTGTAGGTACATAAAGAGCTTAGGGATGGCCAGTGATGCAGAAATAGACACTGTTTGTGAGAAAGAAGGGAGAGGAAAAAGGAAAGTAAGGATGTGGAGGAGTAGGAGAGGAAGCTGTAGAGAGAGGAGGGGATAAAAGGGAGATGAGCAGAAGAGGAAGTGGAGGAAGAGAAGGAGAGTGATATGAAGGTAAAGATGCCAGACAAGGGGAAGGCATGGGGAGGCGAATAGTGAGAGGAAGTATAAGAAGGAACCAAACTGAAGCCATTTGGAATAAAACTTCCATTTTGAATAGGGGACTAATAAAGTTTAAGTTCCCAAGACCTCCCTGGGTAACTGACATCCTGCTTGGCATGGGTACATGGGTACCTGATTAGCAAGCTGAGACATGAGCGTTAGGCAAGTTGCTCCACCATAGTTGAATAAACCAGCCAATGAGAACAGGATGAGTGTACCACAAAGACATTTCCCTAAGGAAGTCTCCTGTTCCTAAATTCTGATTGGTGGAAAATTGTAACTGTAACTTGGCACAGGTGTTTGTGGTGTTCAAGATTAAAAACTCTGTAACATTCACCTGAGTCTGTTCTGTGGTCCTGATCCATCGATCAGGAGTGGCTTGATTACAATAACTTTTGTCATCTGCATTGACATGATGTTTGAGTTACGCTGGATCTAAGTGGAACCCTATAACTTGAGGAAGCGGGAATGAGCAGGTGGAGAGGGAGGAGAGGATAAAAGGACAGAGAGACAGAGAGAGAAGGGGAGATACAGAGGGAGACTATTTCTTTTGAAATGATGACTGGTAAAACAACTTGAGCTATTCAATTGGAAAAATATGCACATTTTCATGAGAAAACTGAGATATTGAAATCATGATTTCAGAAAGAGACTTCTAAAAAATTATGAGATCACGACGTGGACAATATGGCAGAAACAACATAGGATTTGGAAGCCATGAAAAAGATGAGAAAATATGTAAATACTCATGTTTAAAATGATCAGAAAATGAATGATGACATGATTAGTGTTTAATCATCAAGTCCAATCTCAAATCCTCGGCCAGGATTCCCTGGAACTCACTTTGTAAGACAGACTGACATGATTCCCTCAGAAATCCTCTGGCCTCTCTCTCCAAAGAAATAGGATGACTGTTTAGATAGAAAACATGAAGCAAATGCTACTTTTGTGTTTGTTTCTGAGACACGATTTCTTGTGGCCCATACTGACCTTGAACTTGTTTTCTATCTAGGTTGATGTGAGCTCCTGACCATAGTGCCTTTGCCTCCAAGGTGCTGATGCTCATGGAAAGAGCAGAGAACCGGGTATCAACTCATTAGGGTTTTAAATAGGTCACCTTCAACATTAGAAGCAAACTGAGACTTTCCATCAAGGTCCTCTCCAGCTATCCAGCCTTTGCAAACATGCAACTACCCTGAATGGGGACAGCAGACATGCAGGCCCTGACCAGTAGCTCAAGGAAACCAAAAGAAGTAAGCTCAGGAAAGGATTCCTCACTAGTGAGTGAGTGAAGAGGAGAATGGAGCATGAAGAAAACAAAAGCTCTTGTGTGAGAAGAAAAGCTGATGTAGAGGAAATGAAATCAAGAGAGAGACCAGGAGGAGCAAAGAACATGAGCAGCACCCCAGCGGGGACTGGGGATATGATACCAGACAGGAGGGTCCAACAGGGGAGGCCCAAATAGAGTTACCTGAGCTGCCACTGGCTGGGGGCAACGCTCAGGAAAAGATATAGATGTGGCAATGGCAGCCCTCACCGAGAACGGCAGGCTCGAGAGAGGCAGATCACTGGTGCTTGTGAGCCAGCAAGGCTAGCCAAGCTGTTGATCTCCCAGGTCAAGTCAAGGTCATAGGTCCATAATGTCATCTAATTCAATTAGTAGATTTCTGTTTGCATTTAGACCTTCCTCAAGCTCAAAATGACCTGCCACCTACCCTCTGTTTCTTTTCTATATATCGGGAGGGGACACAGCATTTGAACAACTGTATCCAGCACATTAATGAAGTACACATACCATCTATTTAGTATTTTATAGTGTAACAGCCCGTTCCTGTCACTTCTTTGCAGGTGATAAAGTCAACCAGCTAACTTCATGTTGTCACAGTCGCACTGGATTTTGCCTTCTTTTGAAGCAACAAAGCCCTATTCCTGTGTTTCCCTTTCTAAGCACAGTTAGCAACAGTCATACCACAATATTACTTGGTTTTTTGTTTCTTAAGCTTTATTTATTGTATGATCCTTGCTCTTTGATCAATCAGTTCACTGCCTTAGCTGTTAATCCAGTATGTTCATACAGATTGTGTGGCATTTTGTGTGTCTGCCTATGGGTGGGTCTGTGTGTGTCCATGATTCAATCATTGGGCCTCACACATTCCGCCTGAGCGCTTTACCTGTGTCATGTAATACCAGTCCATTTACATTTTCACTTTCAGTCGGGATTTGCATCAGTTTTCTAGAGTGTCCTTGAACACAAGATAGAAACACAGGAAAGAAATTAGCTTTCGCTACCTTGAAAAGCACCCAAAGTTCTGGGTATTTTAATTAATAGAAACTCATGTTACTAAGTTCACGACACTAAATCATGAGGTCATTCAATGGATTGTATCCAAGCTATATTTTATTAACAATACCAGTCATAAGACATTTCTCTTTTCTCATATAGAATTCAGCGGACAATGAAGAAGAGGATAAAGTTTAAAGCAAGGGCGCTGGTGTGAGAGCTTAAGCATCTATGGGCTAGTTTGGGAGATTCTCAAATCCATATGAACACTGTTTGGTGGAAGCCTAGGCTCTGGCATCCTTAGGATAGAAGAAGGCAGAGCCTGTCCATCAAGATCATCTCCAGCTATCTATATTGATAAACTTGGGAAGCCCCTGGATGAGGACAATAGGCATGCAGAGGAGACTGATGTCTCAAGGACACAAAAATCAGAACAAGTGAACTCAGGAAAAAAATCACAAGTCAGTGAGTGATAAGAACGGATCATGAAGCAAAAAAAAAAAAAAAAAGCCACTGGATAAGAACAGATGATACAGCTACAGCGTAAGTGAGTCCAAGTGAGAGCTCATGAGAAGCATATAGCATGTAGCAGTCCAAGGACAACACAGAGTGTGGTACCTGAGGAGATGCACAAAGAGAGACCTTGGCTGACATCTGTTTGGGGCCCACCACTCACAGAGAGCTATAGACACAGCTCTGAAAGATCTCAGCAGGCTAATAGGGAAGAGAAAGGAAAATCACTCAAGTGTGCCAGCCAGTCAGGCAGGCCAAGCTGTGGGGCTTCCACTCAGTGTCAAGCGCTGCCTCAAGCACATAATTTACAAAAAAATGCAGGATAAAACCAATATCTTCCAAGGGCTTCAGCACTCTGCTATGAAACTCCAGGTGACTTGATTTTCACATGAATATGAGAAACACATACATACACACAGCCACACAAAAACAAACAGGGAGGCAATATGGGGGTGGGGGCAGTGAACCCAACAGTTTGATACATCCTTCGAGCCCAAACTACAATGGGTGCTGAGATGAAAGGGTGTAATGAACAGCCAGGATTTAGACTTTGTGAGGAATGCAAAGTCCTGGCCTCATAAACGGAAAGCAAGCGAAAGTAGAGGGATGGGGACAATGAGTGGCCTCATAGTGGATAAAACTCAGCATAGGAACTCAGTAAGAAGCCCACTGAATCCTAAAATTGATGCAATTGACCTTTGCGACCATGACATCCGGGAACGGCAGCCCGGGAAGGACAGGCCTACAAACTGCCCTGTCTCTCAATGGTCTTAAGATCACAAGGTGGGGGTACCTGTGCATAGCGTCAGAACGGCAAACCTGATGGGGTAGGTTGAGAGCCTCTTGGGTTTGTGGCTCATTATTGGGCTATAGGTCCTGTGAAAAACCCCATGCCTTGGGCCCAAGAACCCCAGTGCAGACATAATTTCTAGGCCAATTTTATTACTGAAAGTGGAAAACGTCATACAATATGACAACTCGTGCAGAGTTAGGACATTGAGGTAGCTGGAAAGACATACTACAGGTCATTGATAATGACAATGGAGAGGACAGGTGACCTTTCTTCAGAGGTCTTCTCAGGTCAGAGTCCAGAGTCCATGCTGAGGTGAGGCTCTGTGCAGAGATGTGAGTCCACGCACACTAGAATGGTCATTTGGAAGTGGACCTGACAGGTCCCAGTCATGTCATCTAGCTGGCTAACTCAGAGAGGACCAGTCTGAAAGTGTCTGTCAAGTCTGAGCAGGAAGGTGGCATCTGCTGTCCCATCACTCACTGCCCATCACTGTCCTCTGAAGAGGAGGAGACCTGAAGGTCCTCATAGAGGACACTCACTGGGACCTGGGAGCATGCTGCCTCACCTTTCTCCAGGAAGGCAGGGCCCTCCCAAGGAGCTGTTTGCTTCTCATGGGCAAGTGCTGGGGACACTGTCAGGAACCTGGAGCTCCAGCAGTCACCATCAAGTCTACTAAAGACCATTCTCAGGGACTGGCGTACAGCATGGCTAGTAGATGGCTGAGAGGACTTAGCACAGGGTGTGGCTAAGACCAGAGCAGGCCTGCTTGGTAGCTGTTCTTGGTCAGTGCTGGGCACCTGGGCTGCTATTTTCTTGCTCACTGGTACTGCATCTTTCAGTCCAAGTCTGTTGGCAATGGGAAGAGACTGCCTACCCAGGCAGGCCTTCAAAACAGTGCTTGCATTGCTCTCCTCTGGTGCACTGGTAGAGTTGACTCTTAGTTTCTTTGAGGATTTCTGGCTAGGCAGTGTGAGCTGCCAGGAAGCTTTCTCACCTGGGGTCCAGAAGCCGAGTTCAGGGTTCTGTCTTCCCTGATGGAGGGCAGCATGCTGGCTGGGCTGTGTTTTCACACTGGGACCCTGGGCTTCTGACTCTGTGTGGAATGCTTCACCGACTCCATTCCTTTTAGGGACCGCAATGGGTTGTTGATGTGAGACACCCAGGAGCTTTTGATCCAGCAGGTCTTGTGAGGCTGTGTTTCCACCACCCTGCCTGAACACTGGCTGTGAGACCCCAGGGACATCCATGTTCTGACCTTCTTCCTGCCTGGAAGGTAAGATGCAGGAGGCATCAGAGCTTTGGATGACAGGGTTTCCAGGGCACATCTGCTTCCCAGGAGACTTTCTGGAAGGTGGCACAGTAGTCTGAATTTGGTTGGTCACAGACTTCTTTGTGTTTCCAGGACTGAACACTGGCATCTTGGGATGCTGGGAAAATAACAATTGCAGGATAAATTGACTATGTAAGTCTTCCAAATAACACAAGGACCTCATAAGATTATCATGACAGAAAAACACTTGTATAAGTTCACTTTAATGTGAAATTACTCAGGCTCTGATATTCTACACTAGCTATCCAAAATTAAAATGTGTGGTAGGGAAATGTGAATAGTTTCAGCCTCCCTGTGAAGTTTACATGACCTGAACTCTAATAACTCAAATGTATCTGCATGTGTGTATGTGATTTCTGTAAAGAGCATATATATATATATATATATATATATTTATTTATTTATTTATTTATGATATATTTATATCATATTTACATATGATATAAATAGACAGATAAGCAGAGGGCCATGAGCCTTTTGTGGTCAAGAGAAAAACAATTCAAATTACCATGCAATTTCCAGTATATTGAAAACCCTAATCCTCTTACCCAGGATGTGAAGCAGGGGAAGAGGCATGTTAAGATGACATGACTTGAATCTGACTCTCAAAATAAGAGTTAACTCTGCAGCCAACAGATTAGGATGGAACAAAAATAAAATAAAAAATTAAAAGGATGAACTCATTCCACTAAAATTTCTCCAATAAAAGTCTAGATTTTGGAAGCAGCACACAAAATCAGTTCAAAATGGAAACAGCCAATCTAGACAGACAGGAAGGTCACCAGAAAGCTAGAAGAGCAGGCCATGTTTGTAATCTGACCTCAGAAGGAAGGACCACATGGAGACCAGGAGCCAAGGTTATGTTCAAGGACAGATGAAGAGGAGCCTGCCCATCCTCTAGGAGAACTGGTCTACCAAAGGAGAAGCACACAGCAGAGGCTCACTTGCTCCCCAAAACCCAAGTCAGTCTGAACTATGAAAATGACCAAATGAGTCCTTGCTGCATCAGAGAGGACTGGTTTGATGTGACATGCATGGGGTCATGAATGGAGCAAGCAGGTGGTACAGCAGGGAATGGGCAGGTGGGGCTGAGCACAGAGAAAGGGACTTTCAGCAACAGGGCAACTGTTGCTACTCACAGCCAGGTTGATGTGCTGGCCCCTCCTCTGTGGATCCATGGGGAGTTTCTGGAAGGGAGCCTTCTGCTGTTCATCACCTCTGTGGGACAGACAATGGTGTGGAAACACATCAGCTCTACCCACCCACTCACCCACTCTCCACTCACTGACCCACTCACTCTCTGTCGCTAGTACACTACTTACTAGCTGTCTGGCCCTTTCAGTGTTTGGGGACAGAGAGATGAGTGATGGTACCCCATGAGCTTTGCTGCACCCAGAGCCTTCCCTCTGGCCATCCCTTCCCCATCACTCACCTCTGTCCAGTGTCTTGACTAGGCTTCTTTTCTGTCTTGTCCTGGCTTATGGGCCCTGGTTTCTGGAGACCCTGTGTCCTGCGAGGATCCTGATTCTCTTTCTCCTTCCTGGCTCCCAGAGGCTGTGGGTCTAGGAGCACTTGGCCATACTTAATGGGGCACCTTCTGCTCCTTGCTGTGTGGCCAAAGGCCCCACACTCTCTGCATTTTACCTGTGAGTAGCAAATGAGATATTAATGAGTCAAAAAGGGATCCAGGTACCTCTTAGGGATAAAGGGTTAAAATGTCCTGCAATGTTCTCTCTTCAGAAATGATACACACTATAGAATGGGTTTAACCATCAAATGGTTATTTTGTTGAACCTGGAAGAGGCAAGCACACTTAACATTTGAATGGGTGTGAACCCCATATCTGCCAAAGGACCAATCCTGCTGAAGAGAGCCTTGGCCTACTTCCCAGTGTCTTCTCAGGTCCACATGCAGGGAGAGCAGCTCCTCTGCCTGGCCTTCTGATACTTCTGCTATGGTCAGGACCATGAATGAATGCAACAAATTTAACAGAGCCCAAAACTTAGCAAACCCCTAGACATTGGCACAACTGACTCCCTGATGAAAGCACTATTTATGCTGTGGAACTCATTCCATAGTCACTTCAGTCAGCCTTAATGAAAACAAGACCCAGTCCATTCAGGTCTATAGTTCTGGAAAAATATCTCAATGTATTAATTACCCTTACCTTTTGGCCTCGGCATTTCTGCTTCTGGCCTCATGTTCTGGGTAACTGAAATATGTCGATCCAGAATATGATTTTGTGTTTAAAAGTTAACTCTGAGAAAAGCTCAGTGATCCCCTGGGATGCAGAGGACCTGCTCAGTGTACTTTGCCAGCTGGTTAATCAAGACTTTCTATTGACTTAAACCCATCTTCCCAGTAATCTTCCCTGGTGGAAAACCCACAACACAGATGTTCTGTGAAGAAGCCCAGTCCGTGTCTCACCTAGCCCCAGTAGTTGCTGACACATAAAGGCCTCCACTCACCCTAGGGTTCTCCTCTTCCGGTGGGGGCACATTCTGTGCCCATGGGCCTGTTGGCTTTCCCTGGGTTCCTGTTGCCAGAACTGCTCCATGGCCCTGGGTCTTCATGTGTGACTCCATCTTCTGGATCTGTTGGCTTTGAGTTCCTGAATCAGATGCAAACAAAAGATTTTGAACCAATGCAATTAAGCATCATAACATGACAAGAATACTTGGCCTGAGCCACCCAGGTCTGCAGCCCCCGAGACCAGGACAGATCAGAGGAAGCAGCAGTTCCCTGGCCTGCTCCATTTTCTGGAACCCACCCTGACCTGCACCTTGAGACCAACCCAGTCCCCCTGCCTGCGCCATTCCCCAAGTCTCACCTTAATCTGAGGCACAAAAGACAGTACAGATTAGAAGGCAGCAGGAAAACCAGAGCACTCCGGCCATCCGGGACCATGAGCTCTATCTACAATCCCAGAGACATATTTCCATCAGAGCCCACCAGGCCTCCTAGTAACAGAAACTAAAGGGCTAGAGGTCAGCGCAAGAACACCAGCAACAAAACTCAGAGCTGAATGGCATCCCCCAAAACCCAGATATCCTACCACAGCAAGCCCTGAGGATACCATCACACTGGAAGCACAAGAAAACAATCTTAAATTCGAGATTATGAAAATGATAGAGGCCTTAAAAGAAAAAAAAATAATCCCTTAAAGAACTACAAAAAAAAATACAACCAAACAGGTGAAGGAATGAAATAAATCCCTAAAGGAAACACAGGAAAATACAATCAAACAGGTGAAGGAACTAAGTAAATCCCTGAAAGAAATACATGAAAAGACAACCAAATGGGAAAAGGAAATGAATAAAACTGTCTAGTACCTTAAAATGGAAATAGAAGCAATAAAGAAAACACAATCCAAGGTAATCCTGGAGAAGGAAAATTTAGGGAAGAGAAAGGAAACTATAGAAACAAGCATCAATAACAAAATACAAGAGTTGGAAGAGAGAATCTCAGGTGTACAAGATATGATTGAAGAAACTGATACATCAGTCAAAGAAAATGTTAAATCTAAAAAGTTCCTGACACAAAACATCTAAGAAATCTGGGACAATATGAAAAGACCAAACCTAAGAATAATAGGAATAGAAGACTCTTAACAATAACAATAGACTGCCTCAAAATAAAGGGCTAGAAAAAGGCTTTCCAAGCAAATGGACACAAGAAACAAATGGAATAGCTATTCTAATATCTAATAAAATAGGCTTTCAACCAAAATTAATCAAAAGTGATGGGGAGAGCACTTCAGACTCATCAAAGGAAAAATTGACCAAAATGACAACTCAATTCTAAACATATATGCCCCAAATACAAAGGCACCCACATTTGTAAAAGAAACATTACTAAAGCTTAAATCACACATAGATCCACACATGTTAATATCAGGAGACTTCAATACATCTCTCTCACCAATAGACAGATCATCAAGACAGAAACTAAGCAGAGAAATAATGAAACTAATCAATGTTATGAGTCAATTGGAACTAACATATATCTACAGAACATTCCATCCAAATACAGAAGAATATACTTTATTCTCAGCACCTTATGGAACCTTCTCCAAAATTGACCACATACTCAGACACAAAGCAAGCCTCAACAGATACAAGGAAATTGAAATAGAACGTTGTATTCTATCAGACCACCATAGATTAAAGCTAGACTTCAACATAAATAGAAGCAATAGAATGCCTACAAACTCATGGAAACTGAACAACTCTCTACTTAATGATCACTGGGTCAGGGAGGAAAGAAAGAAAGAAATTAAAGACTTTCTAGAATTCAATGAAAATGAAGGCACAACATACCCAAACTTATGGGACACAATGAAAGCAATGCTAAGAGAAAAGTTCATAACATTCAGTGTCTTCATAAAGAGGAGAGAGTTCAGACTAGCAACTTAATAGCTCATCTGAAAGCTTTAGGAAAAAAAAAGGAAATAAACACGCTCAAGAAGAGTCAACAGCAGGAAATAAATCAAACTCAGGGCTGAAATCAATAACCTAGAAACAAAGAGAACAATACAGAGAATCAACAAAAACAAAAGCCAGTTTTTTGAGAAAATCAACAAGACAGACAAACTCTTAGCCAAACTAACTAAAAGGAGGGAGAGTATCCACATTAATAAAATCAGAAATAAAAGGGGAATATAACAACAGACACCAAGGACATCCAAAAAATCATTAGATCATAATTCAAACACCACAAAATTGGAAAGTCTAAATAAAATGGATGATTTTCTTGATAGATTCCACTTGCCAAAGTTAAATCAAAATCAGGTTAACAATTTAAATAAACCCATACCCCTAAGGAAATAGAAGCAGACATCAAAAGCCTCCCAACCAAAAAGAGCCCTGGGCCAGATGGTTTTAGCACAGAATTCTACCAGGCTTTCAAAGAAGAACTAATGCCAATATTCCTCAAATTATTCCACAAAATAGAAATGAAAGGAATATTGCCAAACTCATTCTATGAGGCTACAGTCACCCTGATACCTAAACCATACAAAGACCCAACAAAGTAAGAGAATTTCAGACAAATATCCCTTATGAACATTGATGCAAAAATAGTCAATAAAATACTTGCAAACTGAATCCAGACACACATCAAAAATATCATCCACTATGATCAAGTAGACTTCATCCCAGGAATGCAGGGATGGTTCAACATACAAAAACCTGTCAATGTAATCCACCACATAAACAAACTGAAGGAGAAAAACCACATAATCATCTCATTAGATGCTGAAGGCCCTTGGCAAAACCCCTTCATGTTTAAAGTCTTGGAGAGATCAAGGATTCAAGGCACATACCTAGACACAATAAAGGCAATATTCAGTAAGCCAATAGCCAACATCAAGTTAATGGAGAGAAACTTAAAGCATTCCCGCTAAAATCAGGGCCAAAACAAGGCTGCCACTCTCACCATATCTCCTCAATATAGTACTTGAACTTCTAGTGAGAGCAATAAGATAAGTAAAGGATATCAAAAACAGACAAATTGGAAAGGAAAAAGTCTAAGTTTTGCCATTCGCAGATGATATGATAATATACATAAGTGACCCCAAGATTCCACCAGAGAACTCCTACAGCTGATAAATACCTTCAACAAAGTGTCTGGATACAAAATTAACTCAAAAAAATCAATAGCCCTCCTTTATAGAAGTGACAAAAGGCCTGAAAAAGATATTAGGGAAACAACACCCTTCACAAAAGCAACAAATAATATAAAATATCTCGGTGTAATTCTAACCAAGCAAGTGAAAGACCTATATGACAAGAATTTCAAGTCTTTGAAGATAGGAACTAGAGAAGATTTTAGAAGATGGAAAGATCTCCCATGCTCTTGAATAAGTAGGATTATCATAATAAAAATTACCATCCTGCCAAAAGCCATCTACAGATTCAATGCAATTCCCATCAAAATTTCAACAAAATTCTTTACAGACTTGGAAAGAACAACCATTAACTTAGTATGGAAAAATAAAAGACCCAGGATAGCCAAAACAATTCTGAACAATAAAAGAACTTCTGGTGGTATCAACATCCCTGATTTCAAGCTATACTACAGAGCAATAGTAATAAAAACTGCATGGTATTGGCATAGAAACAAACAGGTTGATCAATGGAACAAAATTGAAGATCCAGAAATAAACTCACACTAATACAGGCACTTGATTTTCAACCAAGAAGACAAAACCATACAATGGAAAAAAGAAAGCATCTTCAACAAATGGTACTGGTCTAACTGGGTGTCTGCATATAGAAAAATGCAAATAGACCCATATTTATCACCCTGCACAAAACTCAATTCCAAGTGGATCAAAGACCTTGAAAAAAAAAAAAAACATAGACTCTAAATCTGTTAGAAGATAAAGTGGGAAAAAGTCTGGAACTCACTGGCATAGGAGACAACTTCTTGAATAGAACAGCACAGTCTCTGAGATCAACAATTAATAAATGGGATCTCATGAAACTGAGAAGCTTCTGTAAGTCAAAGGACACTGTCAATACAACAAAATGGCAACTGACAGATTGGGAAAAGACCTTCACCAACCCTACATCAGAAGACTAATATCTAAAATATACAAAGAACTTAAGAAATTAAACATCAACAAATCAAATAATCCAATTAAAATATGGGATACAGAGCTAAACTGAGAATTCACAACAAAGGAATCTCAAATAACTGAGAAGCACATAAAAAAATGCTCAATGTCCTTAGCCATCAGAGAAATGCAAATTGAAACCACTTAATTGTAATTCCCTACAAAGATGTAGCAGATGGACAGTTTAGGCCTCTGGTGGGTTCCCTAGTAAGGGAAGTGGGGACTGCATTGGATACAGACTCACTTGCCAGCTTTTTGATCACTTCTCCCTGGTGGGACTGCCTTGTCAGGCCGGGGGGGGGGGGGGGGGGGGGGGGGGGGGACGCCACAGTTGTAATCGAAAAAACTTGCCGAACCGGGCTGGATTTAAAAAGGGAGCTCCCCCTTTCTCAGGAAGAGGGGAGGGGGAAGGGAGGGAGTAGGGAGGGAGGGTAGGACTGGAAGGGGAAGAGCGATGGGACTACAACAATGATGTAAAGTGAACTAAAATTTTTTAATTAAAAAAAAATACCCCTCAAAAAATTGTTATGGCTCTCTTTGACATATTGTTATACCGTAAGCAGCGTCAATGTCATTCTTATGCAACATTAAATGCAAACGATTCAAAGAAACCCACAGACTCTGTGAACACACATGCTTTTTCAAATCAATATAAACTGAGCGCTCCTGGGTGGAGATACCAGCCTAAATATAAATTCACCAGGGATTTTATATTCAAATTGGATAAATCTTATGCTTAAAAAGACATTTTCTGGGAGTGTAATAAAATAAATAAGAAAACGCAAATGGCAGCCCACGTACTGCGCCAGACGTAGCATCATCACGATGTCCACGGCTCCTTCCTCATTCTGATCTTCAGAGCATGGAAATATAGGACAATCTGCAGGCCTGCCATTGGAAGCACCTGTCATTGTTAGCCAACTTCTGTCCTAACGGGCTTCCATATATGGACATATAGGTACGACATGGAAAGAAAGTCTTTTGGCTCGGGC